GTTCTTAAATAAAAATGTAAATATTTGGACTGAACGGGTTTTTTTTTTATTTAACTTTCATGCTGCTATGAACGTCAATCGGTTACATCCATATTAAACTTGGAGCCCGCAATATGACCTTACGGATTATACCAAATACACGGCAGGATATTTAACGTAATTAACCTTGCGGTTTATATCAAAACAATATAATGGGAATAAGTAGGTATGTCTTGTTACGTATACAATACAATACGATGGGTATTGGTGGGGATGTTTTGTTACGTATACAATACTATGACGGGTATAGGTAGGGAATGTCTTGTTACGTATACAATACAAAATGACGGGTATAGGTAGGGATGTCTTGTTACGTATACAATACAATATGATGGGTATAGGTAGGGATGTCTTGTTACGTATACAATACAATATGATGGGTATAGGTTGGGATGTCTTGTTACGTATACAATACAATATGATGAGTATAAGTAGGGATGTCTTGTTACATATACAATACAATATGATGGGTATGGGTAGGGATGTCTTGTTACGTATACAATACAATATGATGAGTATAAGTAGGGATGTCTTGTTACATATCCAATACAATATGATGGGTATGGGTAGGGATGTCTTGTTACGTATACAATACAATACGATGGGTATAGGTAGGCGTGTCTCGTTACGTATACAATAAAATATTATGGGTATGGGTAGGGATGTCTTGTTATGTATACAATACAATATGATGGGGATAGGTAGGGATGTTTTGTTACGTATAAAATACAAAATGATGGGTATAGGTAGGCGTGTCTCGTTACGTATACGTAGGCGTGTCTCGTTACGTATACAATACAATATGATGGGTATAGGTAAGGATGTCTTGTTACGTATACAATACAATATGATGAGTATAAGTAGGTATGTCTTGTTACATATACAATACAATATGATGGGTATAGGTAGGGATGTTTTGTTACGTATAAAATACAAAATGATGGGTATAGATAGGGATGTCTTGTTATGTATAGAATACAACATGATGGGTATAGGTAGGGATGTCTTCTTACGTATACAATACAATACGATGGGTATAGGTAGGCGTGTCTCGTTACGTATACAATACAATATGATGGGTATAGGTAAGGATGTTTTGTTACGTATACAATACAATATGATGGGGATAGGTAGGGATGTTTTGTTACGTATAAAATACAAAATGATGGGTATAGGGAGGGATGTCTTGTTATGTATAGAATACAACATGATGGGTATAGGTAGGGATGTCTTCTTACGTATACAATACAATACGATGGGTATAGGTAGGCGTGTCTCGTTACGTAAACAATAAAATATTATGGGTATGGGTAGGGATGTCTTGTTATGTATACAATACAATATGATGAGTATAAGTAGGGATGTCTTGTTACATATACAATACAATATGATGGGTATGGGCAGGGATGTCTTGTTACGTATACAATACAATATGAAGGGTATAGGTAGGGATGTCTTGTTACGTATACAATACGATATGATGGGTATAGGTAGGCATGTCTTGTTACGTATACAATACAATATGATGGGGATAGGTAGGGATGTTTTGTTACGTATAAAATACAAAATGATGGGTATAGGGAGGGATGTCTTGTTATGTATAGAATACAACATGATGGGTATAGGTAGGGATGTCTTCTTACGTATACAATACAATACGATGGGTATAGGTAGGCGTGTCTCGTTACGTATACGTAGGCGTGTCTCGTTACGTATACAATACAATACGATGGGTATAGGGAGGCGTGTCTCGTTACGTATACAATAAAATATTATGGGGATGGGTAGGGATGTCTTGTTATGTATACAATACAATATGATGGGTATAGGTAGGGATGTTTTGTTACGTATAAAATACAAAATGATGGGTATAGGCAGGGATGTCTTGTTATGTATAGAATACAACATGTTACGTATACAATACAATACGATGGGTATAGGTAGGCGTGTCTCGTTACGTATACAATACAATACGATGGGTATAGGTAGGCGTGTCTCGTTACGTATACAATACAATACGATGGGTATAGGGAGGCGTGTCTCGTTACGTATACAATAAAATATTATGGGTATGGGTAGGGATGTCTTGTTATGTATACAATACAATATGATGGGGATAGGTAGGGATGTCTTGTTACGTATACAATACGATATGACGGGTATAAGTAGAGATGTCTTGTTACGTATACAATACAATATGATGAGTATAAGTAGGGATGTCTTGTTACATATACAATACAATATGATGGGTATAGGTAGGGATGTTTTGTTACGTATACAATACAATATGATGGGTATAGGGAGGGATGTTTTGTTACGTATAAAATACAAAATGATGGGTATAGGTAGGCGTGTCTCGTTACGTATACGTAGGCGTGTCTCGTTACGTATACAATACAATACGATGGGTATAGGTAGGCGTGTCTCGTTACGTATACAATAAAATATTATGGGGATGGGTAGGGATGTCTTGTTATGTATACAATACAATATGATGAGTATAAGTAGGGATGTCTTGTTACATATCCAATACAATATGATGGGTATGGGTAGGGATGTCTTGTGACGTATACAATACAATATGATGGGTATAGGTAGGGATGTTTTGTTACGTATAAAATACAAAATGATGGGTATAGGTAGGCGTGTCTCGTTACGTATACAATACAATATGATGGGTATAGGGAGGGATGTTTTGTTACGTATAAAATACAAAATGATGGGTATAGGTAGGCGTGTCTCGTTACGTATACAATACAATATGATGGGTATAGGGAGGGATGTTTTGTTACGTATAAAATACAAAATGATGGGTATAGGTAGGGATGTCTTGTTATGTATAGAATACAACATGATGGGTATAGGTAGGGATGTCTTGTTACGTATACAATACAATACGATGGGTATAGGGAGGGATGTTTTGTTACGTATAAAATACAAAAGGATGGGTATTGGTAGGGATGTCTTGCTACCTATACAATACAAAATGATGGGTATAGGTAGGTATGTCTTGTTATGTATAGAATACAACCTGATGGGTATAGGTAGGTATGTCTTGTTATGTATAGAATACAACATGTTACGTATACAATACAATATGATGGGTATAGGTAGGGATGTCTTGCTACGTATACAATACAAAATGACGGGTATAGGTAGGGATGTCTTGTTACGTATACGATATGATGGGTATAAGTAGGGATGTCTTGTTACGTATACAATACAATATGATGGGTATAGGTAGGGAATATCTTGTTACGTATACAATACTATGATGGGTATAAGTAGAGATGTCTTGTTACGTATAGAATACAATATGATGGGTATAGGTAGGGATGTCTTGTTACGTATACAATACAATATGATGGGTATAGGTAGGGATGTTTTGTTACGTATAAAATACAAAATGTTGGGTATAGGTAGGGGTGTCTTGTTACGTATACAATACGATATGACGGGTATAAGTAGAGATGTCTTGTTACGTATACAATACAATATGACGGGTATAAGTAGGGATGTCTTGTTACGTATACAATACAATATGATGGGTATAGGTAGGGATGTCTTGTTACGTATACAATACGATATGATGGGTATAAGTAGGGATGTCTTGTTACGTATACAATACAATACGATTGGTATAGGTAGGGATGTTTTGTTACGTATACAATACAATATGATGGGTATAGGTAGGGATGTCTTGTTACGTATAAAATACGATATGGTGGATATAGATAGGGATGTCTTGTTACGTATACAATACTATGATGGGTATAGGTAGGTATGTCTTGTTATGTATACAATACAATATGATGGGTATAGGCAGGGATGTCTTGTTACGTATACAATACGATATGACGGGTATAAGTAGAGATGTCTTGTTTCGTATACAATACAATATGATGGGTATAAGTAGGGATGTCTTGTTACGTATACGATATGATGGGAATAGGTAGGGATGTCTTGTTACGTATACGATATGATGGGAATAGGTAGGGATGTCTTGTTACGTATACAATACAATATGATGGGTATAGATAGGGATGTCTTGTTACGTAAACAAAACAATATGATGGGTATGGGTAGGGATGTCTTGTTACGTATACAATACAATATGATGGGTATAGATAGGGATGTCTTGTTACGTATACAATACTATGATGGGTATAGGTAGGGATGTCTTGTTACGTATACAATACGATATGGTGGATATAGATAGGGATGTCTTGTTACGTATACAATACTATGATGGGTATAGGTAGGTATGTCTTGTTATGTATACAATACAATATGATGGGTATATGTATAACCTTTATGAAGGTTAGTGCATGGGAAATGTCTCGTTACTTGTTGGTGAATGGTTAAACAATCTAAGCTCGGATGAATTCATGCATGACAGGACATTAGATGTATCACGTATTTCTGTAACTCGAGACCCGGGTACCCGCGTGACTCGAAATCCAGAACATCCTCCTAACTCGGAGACCATACTCATAAGATGAAAGTCATGTACTTGTTATATACATCAGTCGGCGCTACTAAACCAAAAAAGATCACTCGTTCCTTTAACTTAGTTTCAAAATTATTCAATCGTTTAATTGATTTTCAAAGTAATTTGACGCCTGTCATAAAAAGTGCTTAGGTAATACCACGGAATTAGATTAGATGTTATCTAATTCCGTGGTAATACATGTTAAAATTTGCTTTCCATAAGGACCAGTCAATAATAATATATACAGAGTTGCAAATCTGAGAAAATGAGTCATTAATGTTTGTGAATGGAAATATGAAAATGTGTTGCATAGTTTATCCGGGCCTAACATGTTCGCATATTTTTCGTGTGGCTCTTTATCGATTCTCGCAGATCATGTAGAAACATATTTTTCTATTTCGTTTCAAATAAATATTATAAACGTCATTCCTAAATATGTATTAACCTATGTGACGTCAACAAGAACCAGCCAACCCGATTGCGTTTCACTGACCCCGATAGAACCCATTTATTTTCTATGAGGTGCATCTACTGCACCATCTTAGCCATGGATACTAGAAAACCTTAGACTTCTAGGGAGTGTGCTTGTAATCAAATTTAACAGAATATGGCGGAAATGTTACATTCTACACGGTAACAATGATGTAGCCGTGTGTGTGTGTGTAAAACATCGCTACAAGAGGCCGCTATCGAATGTAGAAAAATCAAAGATGGCAGCCGCATTGGGGGATACCCCCAGTAGCTGGGATAATCATGGAGATAGTACAGGTATGCATCTGCTAATTTCATAAATGTATCTTGCATTTACACTTCTAAATATATTACAATTGGTTTTTGACTTTTGCATCTCGGCATTTATTACGACAGAAGAATGATCAGCGTACTCTTGCTACCCTCACCCCTTTGTCAACAAATATTTCAGTTTCGCGTTTCGTTTTCATTTCGTCGTATGTTCCCTAGAACTATAATCGCTTACCATTTATAATGTGATGTGTGTGATCAAATAATTGACCACTTTGTTAAGAATGAATATCACGAGATGTTAGCGCTGTGAAGAAGGAAGTAAATGGAAAGGTACCGTTGATATTTTCCTACCACTAGAAATGCTGGGAAGGAGCCAAAATTCACATCCGTAACCAGATACAAGTTTCCACTTTCATATCGTAATATCACGCCTAACAAATTATGCTGCTTTTTATTTAATTCTCCCCAATTTAACTAGTATTATCAAATTATTTGTCACGTATACGGTTCGAAATTAAAAGGTTCAGACTTAGTAAGTCAGGCCATTGAGTTCGTTATTTCTGTCAAATATCCGGTAATACCTGCAGTAAGGGTGAAAAGTAGGTCATCCTGAATTGGAACCCTATCACCCTAAATTATGCATGTTTTAGATAAGAAGGGAGAAAACTAACATAATTAATGTGAAGTGGTCATCCCCCTCAAGTCATCTAGTTGATGGATGACTACATACTGATGTTCCTTGCTCAGAAAACCTTTGGGGAATATTGATATGTATGTGAAGCAACACGACGTCAATAGCTGTTGTCATTTTCACAAATATGTGTGGTCACTGGTCAGTGAGATTACTCCTTGTATGTCCTGAGGGCACTCAGAGGCCATGAACTGATGTCTTTATTTAGCAGTATAGTTTTATCAGCATTGTGACCTGTCATTCCAGCAGGCTTATTGAGTGTACTGGCACCACACACATGTGCTGTATTTGTAAACAAGTGCTGTAATAATATAAACAAACCAATCAAGGACGTGTATGCAGTCACAGTTAATGTATTATTATAGTCTCCTCTTGATATGTTTGGGTGATAAATTTATATAACAAACAGGAACCAAACTGTGTTTTATATGGGATTTTTATTTTATTTTTGTGATTTAGGAACATTAGCACATACTACATGTGGATAATCATCTCATGATATTTAATGTTTTCATACAATTTTATTGCATGTGCGTGATATCCGTTCTACACTTGACTAAATTTTCAGAATATTTTTTTAGTAGTTTTATGAAATAAAAGTGATTGTATTGCCAAATTGAAAAAAAGGGAGTAATCCTTACTTGAATGCATTTCTTCAAGCATATCAATATAAATGATAAATGTCCAGTACGATTGTAGAAAATGTCTCGCACAGAGACTAAAAAAGTCATCAATATGTATTGTACATAATAGTTTTTTGTACCATCCCTAATATATATCAAGTATATATATATACATATAGAAGTTATGGGATATGAAAAGTACAGTTGTATGTATGTGCATATATTATACAGAAATTTGTCATTCATAACTTGAAATTATATGCATGTATATAATTCCTATATAATTATATATATATATCCTCTTAATAATTATTATTAAGATCACACAAAATGAAGTAATATATATCTTTATGTGTGACATACATCACTGTACAAAATAGTGCTTAAATTTGTGACTTTTAAATTTCATACAAGATCGAAATAATACACAACAATCCTAACTAACTGTCTGCTCTGCTGTAAATTTGAGGTACGTAATTGTGTTGAATGGTAGTATATATATAGCCAACCTGCGTGATGACACCATTTGTTCAGTGTTGAACAGAGCTGGGGCACTCAAACCCTAGCAACCTTCAACAATCATATTATCGACACTTGCAAGAGGAATAAATAAATTAAAAAATAATATACCATAAAACACTTTCTGGTCCCAATCACTATTGACAGGGCAACACATTTGTTTGGTTAATATTTTGCTCAGTAATGTATACTTACTTGACAGTATTGTCGAGTAAAAAAATGTCATGAGATATATATAAATTAAATTACACCACATTATCTTTTGTCCCACTGGAAATTAAAAAGAAATATTGGAGAAATTTTTTGAAATGTATGTGTAGCTGTAAAACAATTTATTCCTATCATTAACTCATTTACCCCCTAAAGACACATTTGAACTCTTCCAATTCAAAGGTTGGAATAGTCCATTATGAAATTTCAGGTGTGAATGAGTGAAACACATCTTTTTATTTATTCAGGAATTTATTTTTATTTTTATACAGTTGTTGACAGTACATATGTATGATCACGATCACAAGGCTGTCTGTCATGATATATATATATACTGTATGTTACAGACACAGAATCAATGAATTGATTTCTGGTATTTCCATTATCCATCACTTGTTTTATAATGCTTTACATTATGTGTTGATAAAAATCTGTTTAAAGCTGTTTTTTTAAAATGTCTAAGTTTTCCCATTAGCTTGTGGATTGATATTGTTCACTTTTTACCATGTTCAGGCATATTAGGAGCTTTAAATAAGTCTTAGTCAATATTAATTACAAGCAAGCATTTGAATGATGCAAAGTGTAAACAACATGGAGATTGATGAAACTGAGTTCATTTTTTCAAACAAGGCCGTTTAAGCAACATTTGGTCACAGTTTTCACTGAAAAAAATTGCTGCAACATGTGAAAATATTGCTGTTTGCTGCTGGGAAGGACAAACTTGTCTGTGGTGATGTCAATATCCTACAGCATATGTACACAGCAAACCTGAAAGGCTGAATCTACCTGTGTTCTGTCTGTGGTTTAGCATACTAAGGTTTAATTTTAGAAAGAATAACATCTTTAGTAGTAAGATCAGCAGGATAATTTGATAAAAAATAAATGTGACAACATCTTGAGTTAAACCGGCTGAAAACATGGATTTATGGAATGGATCGTTTAAAACTGTCTTGCTAATGAATGGTTAACAGATCTATACATAAAATCTAGCTGATGTGTAATTGACTCATTGAACTTAATTAACATCTTACAATTAAAGCATGATACTCAATGAGTCATTTGGGATCAGCATTAATATTTTATTTTGTGATTGTTAATTTGTTATTAAGTGCCAAACAGGCAGTACAATATTTATTTAAATATTATGTAAATTCTGATTAAAGTTATTTTTTGCATTTTGCAATTTTAGTTTCCTTTGATCGAATAAATCAATAATTCATTTGTTAAGAATTAAAAAAAATCAAAATAATTACATAGCCTGTGTTTACTTCACAACTCAATTTAAGAATTCCTGATAAACAGCTCATATTATTACAGGAAAGGTTAATTGAACTTGTTGGACTTAACAAGGTAATTATCTCTACATTAGAAGAAAGAGTAATTTGGTAAGATTCTAAATCTTTAACCAAAATGGCTCGGGAGAAATATCGCATATTATATTCACAATATGGGGAAAAAAATAATGACCCAAGATTTCAACCTCAGTCAACAAGATTATGATACCATATACACATAAATGATTTGGTTGTGGATTGTGTGTCATGAAAATTGATAAATGATGTGATGTATGTGGAGATAGCTAGGTGTGCCCCTAGCCAGTTAAAGTGGAAATATAATAATCTGGTGTATGCTGGTCATATGTGTATAACACTACCAGTTTGTATAACATGCTTGAGTGACCTAGCTATTGATTGATTTGTTGCTACAGGGTCAATCTGGAATCTGACAATAAAACTGCTTTCTGGATGCTGCTTTGTAGAATGTCCTTACTGATATAAACTGATGCTGGTTAACGTTGTAACAAGGAGATCACTGATCATGTATAGGGTCAGAGAGATATGAACACACCCATAGTATATATATCCCTTAATTTATGCTGCTTCTTTTTTAGGCCAAAATATTGCACCATTGTCTCATTGGGTGAAGACAGTTCAACTCTCCAGTATCTCCATCAAGACATTTTTTAACCTACTACTTATATATATATATATATATATACATTTTTTTTTTCTATAAAGAAAATCTGCTAACTTGTATGAACATCTGAATCTGCATAACACCAACTTATTTATTCCAATATACATGTAAAAACTGAGACAGTTACAATTCTATCCAATTTAGTATGCCACCATCACTGATTTTCGGAAAGACATGGCACCAGCCTCACTCCCATCCCCACAAAACTTGTACATGCTGACATCCCCGCCGACCTTAATTATAATGATTCCATTATCATAATATCATATAGTGGTGGTTGTCTGGTTTCCTGATGTTATATGATATCCAAAAAGCCTATTCTGTAACTGATATACTTATGGTTACTTCTATTATAATGTATTCAATCCATTTTACATTTCCGTTACCATTCCAATTTATGTATTGAAACCAGGTAGGAATACAGGTGATAATGTTTGAAATCTTATATACTACATGATATATAATTTGTAATATTATACACATGTATATATAAAACAAATGACAAGATCTAGGTCATCTTCTTAGTACAGTACCTCCCTAGCAATTTCACCTCGTTAGAGGTTCATCAGCTGGGCAACTGTAATACATCATCCAATTTCTACATCTTTCAAAATGAAGAATATGGCAAGACTGCAATAGCCAGCATGTATTTTTAACTACATTTATATTATTTATTCATATCTTGACAGATCTTTTGCAGGTATCCTTTAAAAAAGATCATTGGCAGAGATTTTGCCAGCTATTTTGGGAAAATGATTGGTTCTGCATAAATAAATAAAATTATTGACATTTGGCACCTATCGGAAGAAAAATATCAGTTTTCCTTGAAAAATAGCAAAAAAACTTGTTTATGCTAAAACTTGATTTTTTTCCCATGGCACCATCTGAAGTAATTAAATTTTTATAGTAATAAATGATCGTTTCATTTAAATAATAATCATCTGTTTACATGCGAAGTAAATTTGGATAATACCTTCCCTTGGACACCTGGCAAACCCCCTGACAGCCAAACATCTAGAGTACTGTAGATCTATATGATGTAGAAAAACATCTACAAACGTGTCAGTGCCATTCACTCTGATCTTGATGAGTCATGGGATTCAAATTCAAGCTTTGCAAAAAATGTATGTCATAATTAAGTCTGTCCTAGTAAAAATTGGCCAGGAACAAGTCTATACATATACTAGTGGGTGATTCCAGCCCACTATCCTGCTCCTAACAAATGTGTAGTGATGCCAGCCCTCTGTTAGTCCTAGGCCTGTTTATGTTCCCAACATGAGTGTAGTGATGCCAGCCCTGTGTTAGCCCTGTTCCTAAAACATGTGTGTAGTAATGCCAGCTTTCTGTTAGCCTTGTTCCTAAAATGTGTGTAGTGATGCCAGCCCTCTGTTAGCCTTGTTCCTAATTACATGTGTGTAGTGATGCCAGCCCTCTGTTAGTCCTGTTAATGTTCCCAACATGGGTGTAGTGATGCCAGCCCTCTGTTAGCCCTGTTGCTAACATGTGTGTAGTGGTGCACACCCTCTGTTGGCCCTGTTCCTTACATGTGTGTAGTGATGTCATCCCTTTGTTAGCCTTGGTCCTAAAATGGGTGTAGTGATGCCAGCCCTCTGTTTGCCCTGTTCCTTTTCACATGTGTATAGTAGTAGTGATGCCAGCCCTCTGTTAGCCTTGTTACTTACATGTGTGTAGTGATGCCAGCGCTCTGTTATCCCTGTTCCTATAACATGTGTGTAGAGATGCCAGCCCTCTGTTTGCCCTGTTCCTTTTCACATGTGTATAGTAGTAGTGATGCCAGCCCTCTGTTAGCCTTGTTACTTACATGTGTGTAGTGATGCCAGCGCTCTGTTATCCCTGTTCCTATAACATGTGTGTAGTGGTGCCAGCCCTCTGTTTGCCCTGTTCCTTTTAACATGTGTATAGTAGTAGTGATGCCAGCCCTATGTTAGCCCTGTTCCTAGCATGTGTATAGTTATGCCAGCCCTCTGTTAGCCCTGTTGCTAACATGTGTGTAGTGGTGCACGCCCTCTGTTGGCCCTGTTCCTTACATGTGTGTAGTGATGCCAGCCCTCTGTTTGCCCTGTTCCTTTTAACATGTGTATAGTAGTAGTGATGCCAGCCCTCTGTTAGCCCTGTTCCTAGCATGTGTATAGTGATGCCAGCCCTCTGTTAGCCCTGTTCCTATAACATGTGTGTAGTGATGCCAGCCCCCTGTTAGCCCTGTTCCTATAGCATGGGTGTAGTGATGCCAGCCCTCTGTTAGCCCTGTTCCTAGCATGTGTATAGTGGTGCCAGCCCTCTGTTAGCCCTGTTCCTATAACATGTGTGTAGTGATGCCAGCCCTCTGTTAGCCTTGTTCCTAACATGTGTGTAGTGATGCCAGCCCCCTGTTAGCCCTGTTCCTATAGCATGGGTGTAGTGATGCCAGCCCTCTGTTAGCCCTGTTCCTAGCATGTTTATAGTGGTGCCAGCCCTCTGTTAGCCCTGTTCCTATAACATGTGTGTAGTGGTGCCAGCCCTCTGTTGGCCCTGTTCCTATAACATGTGTGTAGTGATGCCAGCCCTCTGTTAGCCTTGTTCCTAACATGTGTGTAGTGATGCCAGCCCTCTGTTAGCCCTGTTCCTAGCATGTGTTTAGTGATGCCAGCCCTCTGTTAGCGCTGTTCCTAGCATGTGTATAGTGGTGCCAGCCCTCTGTTAGCCCTGTTCCTATAACATGTGTGTAGTGGTGCCAGCCCTTTGTTAGCCCTGTTCCTATAACATGTGTGTAGTGATGCCAGCCCTCTGTAATTAGACCTGCTCCTAGCAAGGTTGAAAAGATGTCAGCCTGCTCAGGCTGCTGTTTTGTGATTTTGATGATGCTGGTGTTTTTGAGTTGATTATTATACAATTATGCTCAATCAGCTAATGTATATATATCAGAGGTTGCGTTCAGTGTGAAATAAGTGGGGTTCCCATATTTTTGTGTAGTATTAAGTGGGGTCCCCCGGGCTGTAGGCCCTAGTTGAGGGTGGAAGACCCGTGCCGCCACCAAGGGGAGAGTATGAGAGCAAGCTCCCCATCTTGCAAGGGGGGTACGGGGGGTCTCCCCCAGATTTTGTTTCGTTTTGTAGTTGCCAGGAGATGACATTTCAGCCCTTCTTATTGCTCAATTGTCTTGCATTCATAGAGATATTTCAGGGATGTAAACTGGAAAAAAACCCAGAGAAAAATTGAAGAAAAGTAAATAAAATTCAGAGAGCAGATTTTCTATCATAAAATCAGATTAACTACACTAATATCGGAGGAGTTAGCATCTCTGCCTTACTATCTAAGGTCCTCCTTTTGGATCGTTTCAAGGTCGTAGGAGACTTGACACCAGCTGCTAACAAAAGTATTCATCAATTTTGCCGACGTGCATACCTGGCAAATCATAGCGTCATTTACATACGATAGCCATTTAAATGACTGCAACCATTCTGGTTTAAATGTCCTTGCCTTTTTCTTCACAGGTTCTGCCATGTTGTTATTTTCTGCTGTGTTGCCGACATGTATATATTCTAATAAGCGCATAAATGTCCCTGATTTACAAACGTAGACAGAAGAGATTCCGACATCGTAATAAACTGACCAATCAGCGACAGCATTAGAAACTCGATTATAACATTGATCTGAAAGGGGGAATCCCTGAACATTGTTTTCTTACTGCTGGACTCGTGTCGCCAACGAGAATGACGCAAAAAGGACTGATATCAGACTGATTTTAAGGCATGTAATAAAATTTCCCGGGACGCGAAGCAGTCGCCAAAATTGCATCCCAGACGTTTTCAATGTGTCAAAAACATACAGGGATATGGCGTAGCCTGATTTCTGTATATATAAATGTAATAAATATGATGTTGCCCTGTCTGTTTTTTTTGTTGGGTTGCTTTATCTAACGCAATATACATACCTTATAGTTATTGGCTATTATAACTATCCAGTGTATTTTTCAAGAATGATCCTGCAGCCACACATTGAAATAGGAGCTCCTGCAAGTATTTCTCTGAATTTTTATTTTTTTTAAGATATTATTACACAAGTTTCTGGTGTACTTTATATGTATCTATATTATTGTATATTTCATGCAACTCTTATATGAAGGCTATTAACATTATGGTTCTTACAAATATTTTTTATTATCACAGATGCTGTGGCAGAAAAGGGCCCTGCTCTGTCTCTCCTGATGGACAAACTACACGGACGTGCTGCCCAGCACAAAAACTGGGATGACAGCATCAAGGCCGTCCGCATGGCCATCATGAATGTAAGTTAAGCTGTATAATTACGAGCTTGTACATCTAGTCTCACTTTTATTTATTGTATATTGATCTCTCTTTCTCAACATGGTTTATGCTTACGATAATTAAGAAATCGGAAATAAAAAGTCTTTTTCTGTACTTTAGAATGCAGTAGAACTTATTGTTATGGATTGTCACTGTGCATGTTACAAAGTTTGATGATGATGAGGTTACGCTGACCCTCTGATCATGGCCGTTGTATTTACAGGATAAGCGGCAGCAGTCGGATGCTTTGGAGCGGATGCACATCCAGACATGTTTGGACAAACTACATCGGGCCATTAAAGGTAGAGTTGATGATGATGAGAATCTGTTGACATATGTTATGATTAATTGAGGGGGAAAATACAGACCTCTTTTGGTTAATGTTCTGTTCAAAATTGTTTTGAACTGCATTAAAAAAGTGTGGAAATGATGTTTTTTTTTACCTGACAATACGGGAAGGTACATTTAATTGATGCAATTAATAATAATTGGCTTGCCCACATTTTGAAAAATCAACTATATCTTGGCAATGAGGCTTGTCAGCATTCTGTATTTCTTACCTCTTGTAATAAATAAACATACAAAACATGATTTTGTAACACAGTTATTTGAGTCCTGGACTGATGCTTATGCTATGGGACCTGCCCACATTTTAAAAATCTACAGTATGTTGGCGATAAGATAAGATTCGTCAGCATTCTGTATTCCAACCACCTTGTACAAAGTAAACAAATACATACATAACACATCTGTCATTAGTCAGGTGTATGAAGTGTCTGTTCTGTGCTCCACCAGCCTTATAATAAATGCATACACATCTCTGTGAAATACAGAATATACCCTAGACAGATTTGATAAAGGCTAGTGGGTTATAATGTCATTTACTGTATGGTTGGTACATCATACATGTATGTAGAATAGAGAAAATGGTTGATAAATGTTGATTAAAAGATGAATCCCTACCTACACTTATTTTCTTGTGACCTTGTACACAAGCAAACTGTTTTTTAGCTTAATCATAAACTTATACATTGTATTTATAACCATGGTGCCTAATCATAAACTTATACATATTGTAAACTTATACAGTGTATACATAGCCATGGTGCCTAATCATAAACTTATACATGTTGTATATATAACCATGGTGCCTAATCATAAACTTATACATTGTATATATATAACCATGGTGCCTAATCATAAACTTATACATTGTATACATAACCTTGGTGCCTAATCATAAACTTATACATTGTATATATAACCATGGTGCCTAATCATAAACTTATACATTGTATATATAACAATGGTGCCTAATCATAAACTTATACATGTTGTATATATAACCATGGTGCCTTTATAGGCCGAATGAAAAAATAGCTGTTTCAGGTAACATGCCTGAAAAAAATAGGGTCGGTCGGTAGGCGAATAGTTTTATTTATGTGAATTTATATTTTGCTTTATTTCAAATTTTACAGTGCATTTCCACACATTACATTTGGCTATTTATTTGTCATGAATAAAGTCTCCCAAACAGGAGGAAAGTACATTTTAATGAGTAGATAGCCTATGAACTTTGCCTGGCTTATAAATTAATCTTGGATACAAGTAGGTATTAAAATTTCTAGGGTCGGCAGTAAAATCTGGGGTAGGTCAGGTTACCAGAAACACAAATTTGTTTGGCCTTATTATATTATCTGTGCAAATCTGTATTCCACCAACAATTGTATTGACTAAGCAAATTATCGGGAACACAATAACTTTTAAGGAAAAAGGTATATTTTCTTCTTCTTTCAAATGAAACTTTATGCATCTTTCATAATGAATTTTCCTGACGTATATGTGTAGGTAGTACATGTGGATGAAGTGTGACATTTTGGTCATTGTTAAGACATACAGACGTAAAAGCAGACTGAAATGTTATGTTCTGACGTCATTTTCTCAAATTATGATTTCCAAGACATTTTTGTTTAACAACTAGCAGCTCCTACACTGACACCGGTTAACATGGGAGAACCAAATTTTATTGATTTTTGGGATTGTGTTACTGGTAGGAAGGTAGTGCTGTTGGATCAATTATTAATCCCACACCACATCCTGTCAATGCTGGTCCACTACGATCAGATACCTGTTCATTTGTACACAGTACTAACGGACACATGTCAATAGGTCACATAAACACCAAATGTGACTCAGAACATGTACACTGAACACATAAATAATGGTCCAGTAATCTTAAAAAACATACTCAAATGACGAAGCTTTAAAACCATACTCAAATGATGGAGCTTCAAACCCATACTCAAATGACGAAGCTTTAAAACCATACTCAAATGACGAAGCTTTAAAACCATACTCAAATGATGAAGCTTTAGAACCATACTCAAATGATGGAGCTTCAAAACCATACTCAAATGCTCGAGCTTTAAAACCAGACACAAATGAAAAGCTTCAAAACCAGACTCAAATGACGGAGCCTTAAAACCATACTCACATGACGGAGCTTCAAACCAATACTCAAATGATGGAGCTTTAAAACCATGCTCAAATGACGGAGCCTTAAAACCATACTCAAAGGCAAAGCTTCAAAACCATAATAAAATGACGGAGCCTCAAAACCATACACAAATGACGAAGCTTTAGAACCATACTCAAATGCTAAGCTTCAAAACCATTCTCAAATGACGGAGCCCCAAAACCATACTCAAATTACGGAGCTTCAAAACCATCCTCAAATGATGGAGCTTCAAGCCCATACTCAAATGATAGAGCTTCAAAACCATCCTCAAATGATGGAGCTTCAAGCCCATACTCAAATGACGTAGATTTAAAACCATACTCAAAAGACGAAGCTTTAAAACCATACACAAATGATGGAGCTTTAAAACCAAACTCAAATGACGGTGCTTCAAAACCATACACAAATGATGGAGCTTCAAGCCCATACTCAAATGACCGAGCCTCAAAACCATACACAAATGACGAAGCTTTAGAACCATACTCAAATGCTAAGCTTCAAAACCATTCTCAAATGACTGAGCCTCAAAACCATACTCAAAGGCAAAGCTTCAAAACCATTCTCAAATGACGAATCTTTAAAACCATACTGAAATGACGGAGCTTCAAACCCATACTCAAATGCAAAGCTTCAAAACCATACTCAAATGACGGAGCCTCAAAACCATACTCAAATGATGGAGCTTTAAAACCATACTCAAATGACGGAGCTTCAAAACCATACTCAAATGATGGAGCTTCAAAACCATACTAAATTGACGGAGCTGTAAAACCAAACTCAAATGACGGAGCTTCAAAACCATACTCAAATGATGGAGCTTTAAAACCATACTCAAATGACGGAGCTTTAAAACCATACTCAAATGATCGAGCTTTAAAACCATACTCAAATGACGGAGCTTTGTATAATAGTCCTGATCAATTGATCCTGTTAGTTACAAAATGATGGCATTGATACTCAAATCACTGGACACATTTATAATAGTCCTCTTACTTCGATACAAAATGATGCTCAGATCATTGGAGGCATTTATAATATTGTCCTTTTACTTATATTTAATTAGATACAAAATGATGCTTAGAACACTGGAGGCATTTATAATATTGTCCTTTTACTTATATTTAATCAGATACAAAATGATGCCCAGATCATTTGAGGCATTTATAATATTGTCCTTTTACTTATATTTAATCAGATACAAAATGATGCCCAGATCATTTGAGGCATTTATAATATTGTCCTTTTACTTATATTTAATCAGATACAAAATGATGCCCAGATCATTTGAGGCATTTATAATATTGTCCTTTTACTTATATTTAATCAGATACAAAATGATGCCCAGATCATTTGAGGCATTTATAATATTGTCCTTTTACTTATATTTAATCAGATACAAAATGATGCCCAGATCATTTGAGGCATTTATAATATTGTCCTTTTACTTATATTTAATCAGATACAAAATGATGCCCAGATCATTTGAGGCATTTGTAATATTGTCCTTTTACTTATATTTAATAAATTATATTTAATTAGATACAAAATGATGCCCAGAACACTGAACACATTCACAACACTCCTGTTGAATTCAAAAGAATGTTTATTAGGTTACAGGATTTGTTAATATTTATGTGCTAACAGTTTTGTTCTTTAGCTCTCCCCTAGTACACACACAATTATTTCAATTCTACTTATATGCATGTATTTATGGACAAACTCCTGTCTACTTTAAATGAATAATTAAGTTATTGTAGAGATTTTGCGAGTAACACTCATTGATCTATATTCATGTATTTATGGACAAACTCCTGTCTACTTTAAATGAGATTTTGCGAGTAACACGTGCACTCATTGATCGACATCCTAGATACTTTTGTATCATGTTGCAAGTTTCATCGTGATCAGCTGATTAATGGTACCTTAAGATAAAGGTTCTGTTTAAAATGTTTGTAAGTTATGTGCTGACATTATCAGTCTTTTTGTTGAATACAATTTGAGGATGGTCTTTTAAAAGCCCATGACATGTAGAGTCTGTTTTCAGTTTTAATGATCATACACATTTATACATATATATACCAAAGGTAACGAAGCTTGGAAAAGGCAGTCCCACATGAAATAAGATTACATCTATTGATGATATTTATTTTCCTTGAAATTAGCATATTTTGTATGCGTATGTATTCGAATGATAAGATATTTATAGGACACTAGTGCTTGTACAGACATGGTAGGCACATGGTTCCTAGCTAGTGGCATTGATCATAACTGGCCATTGTAGTGAAATACAATTCATCGATTAATTTTTGAAACACAAGGTTCAGATCGAAGATGATTGATAGGATGGTAGTGATATGTGCATACATCTGCCGTAAAAATAATAAATAGTTTATTGATACGAAGTTAGTGTTGATGACAGACAGCTGTGGTCCCTGAAACGTGGTGTAAGGTGGATGTATAATGCTTGGCTGCAGTATAGCTATACTACACACACTGTGTCCATGTTGAAATACCAGTGAAATCAATACATGTGTGGTGTTGATTACTGTCCCCGACCTTGAGCCCCCACACTGACATGGGATCTAGTCCACATCATTGTCATAATTTTGCTGTCACAGGGAAATATTTGCAGCTCATGTATATATACTTAGCTATAGTAATTGTTTGTTGAATTAAAACATGTAAAGTGTTTTTCTATTTGACCTACTTTATTGGTATGTAGGATAAAACACTTGTAGCACATTACATGTACCAACTTAAATAAAAATAGGGACCCTCTCAATTTATGCTCCTTTTGATACGGAAATGAGGTAAACTTGAGCCATGGCCACTGAGTTTTATCGGTACAATGTATCTCAAATGAAGAAACACTTACACATCACAACAACAACAATCAGTATAGCCAAGTATACCAGGTACACATAAGTCTAGAATTCAGTAAAAAAAAATGCATCTTTTAACTACACTGCCAAATGAAATTGCGTATTGCACAGAAATTAATCTGCAGTTACGATGATTTGTTTACAGCTTTCAATTAACTTAATAATTTAACAAATCAAATTTATGAAGTATGTCTCAATTGCAGTCTGTAGCTCCTGTTTCAGCAGCCCTGATTTTATATAGGAACCAATTGGCTGCTAGAACAAGCTACTTATAATGCGATTAATCCGAGCTCCCCAAAGTGTTAAATTGCACAATTCAGTGGGAGGATGGCTGGTCTATATTGGTAAGGAGATTGTGCAATGATAACATGTAGACTTCCTTTCATAGATGAATCAACAAGTTTTGTCAATATTTTGGCAGTACAGGTTAGATTGTGTAATGATGAGATGTTATACTGTTTTCAGTGGTGAATCAACAGTCTTTATTGGAGAGGTTGGAATCCATTGCCCGTCAGCTCGGTCTGAGCTTCAGTGTGCCTTCTTCACCAGAGAACCGTGCTGTCATCAGCTCCGAGATGTTCGGAGTGGAAATTATCATGGAAACTGGTGGTGTAGTTAAAGATGTCAAGGTTTTTCACAATGGAGATCCAACGGTAATTAAATGTTCACTTAAAAAAAAATCTTGTAAAACTTTTTTGTTTTTACATGTAAAATAAGCATGTGCTTTGTGTATTTGGGTTGATATTATAGTGCAAAAGTGCTCAAATAGTTCCCACATAATGAATGGTATGTTGCTGGTGTAGCTAATCCAATGAAAAGAAAGATCACAGAGTTATAGGTTGCTAGGCAGAACACTCGTACAATCAAAATAGAGGTACTCAGCTCAGATGGGTGTTATTCAATAGATAAACCGTCAATCATCAGTAATGGCAGTTTTAAAATACTGACAATCTGTAATCAGAACATCAATAGATCAGTCACATGTTGTAATATAGTGATATAGTCAAAATTAAATCAGTTGATATATTTTGTTGAACTTGTTCACTAAATTTGGTCAAACATTGGATCTTAGACTTTGTCAGAAACAGTGTTTTTATTGCCTAGATTTCATGGTCGTCAAGCTTTGTTAAATATAATTTTTGGGTCAGAAAAAGGTGGTCCCTGGTAACGTTAGATGGTTGCTTATTCATAGTAAAAAATGATTTGGAGGAATGAAAGCGGTTGCAGGAGACGGATGGTTTCTTGAGTAGATTTAACTGTAATATATTTTCAAGAGACTAAAAAATAACAGCAGATGTTTTACTACCGTGACTATTCTGTGTTTAACGCTTGTAATGTTCTACCAACAAATACATTCTGTGATAAACCCCTGTAACCTCGTTCTGACAGGCTCTCTTATTAAGGGGAGATAATTATAAAGTTGTATTATTGAATATTTGTATGTAAAAGAAGATTTAGTAGGTGGCATATACATCTGTTATGTTAAATATCCTTATGTTTTATATTCACAGAGTTGTGAGGAGCTTACAGAAATATTAAGGTATAGTATCTTTCTAATTAATTTATGAAAGAAATAAGAAGAGGTTGAATTCATTGCCCTCATTAGTGAACTAACTTTTTATATTGAATCCAGTATGTATTGTTTTCAGTCTTTGCGTATTGCAGAGTTCTCTTCTCTTCTGAGCAGGTATTTATTGTTAAGTCATTGGTTTGTGTGAGAAAATTACGTCGTTTTCTCAAAAATTGATGGCGTTACTCTCACAAACCAATGACGTTATAATCAATACCTGCTCACAAGAGAAGATAACTCTGCAATACGCAAAGACGGAGTAGAATAATACCAGATAATTGCAGTGCACATGAATGTTGAAAATGGATGAAGCTGTTAAACACTGTAACCTACATGTAGATGTGATGTTTTGTTGTTTCAGTAAGGGGCAGTTTGACGAGTTTGTTGTTCACCTGGAAGGTTTGCAGGATATCTACAAGATACCAGGCGACAAGTAGGTCATCAACCTCAGCATCTAAAACAGGGGTCATCATTTCCATGGAAACCAAATTAGAAATAATCCATATGGAAACCCAAATTAAGTCAATTTACATATGAAACTCACAGATATCAGTGTTATCTATGGAAACCAGTCAAGTCCATAAAAACCAAAAGAAGCATTTTATTATCTCTGGAAACCAGAGATCTGTAAGAACCAATTTATTGTAGGTGATTTCATTTCCATTTAAACCAGTAAATGTTTCTATTGCATTGATAACAAATTAACATAGTGAAGGTAGCTATATATTAACCAAGCTTTACCTCAAGGGTTTTCTAAATCAGGTTTTGAAATCACCAGCCAATAGAAACCCAGCCCACTTATAACTGTCCATAAATGCATTGCACACATGATACAGTATACTGAAGTAAAGGCATCATTGAATGTTGGATTTAGAACATTTGTAAAGTTATTCCAACAAATTTCCTTGTTCTCTTTATAAAACTGTACAGCTTGATTAAATCACTTTGCATTATATAGTTGTTTGATGGGCCGTTAAACACAACTAAACAAACAAAATTGCATACAATTAAACAATGTGTGTATCAATTTTTCATTCCAGAAAACAGAAGTCAAAGGCCTTCTTAGCTTTGCATTCTCTGGAAACAGATCTCAACAACCTTGCTCAGCTACAAAGGTAAGCTATATAGGTGTTTCGCTTCCATCAACAAGAGTTACATGTACATGGACTGTAAATCCATCAGAAAGAGCTTGACTTCATTCCTGACCACAGCATCACTATACAAACAGATCTGTCACTTTTCAATATCTCAGTTTTTCAGAGATGGACCATTAAAAAAGTTAAAATAGTTACATGTGATTTAATGTGATTATATGGTCGTTGATTAGAGGTAGCTGCCAAAACAGACTTACTTGACTGTATTGTATAAAACTTTGCAGTATTTGACATGTCATAAAGACGTGCTATTCTTAAAAAAATGTTTTGCTGGTTGCAGTGCTATAAAGGGGGTGGCTAACTGTATCCACAAGTCACCGCTGGGAATTCTGCTGCCGAGGAAGGGTGGTAAGTAAAACTTGAGTGGTTGCACAGACTTCTGTTGCCAAGGAAATGACGTGAGTAAAATTAGAGCTTGGATTTTTTTCCATGGAAGTATGTTTAATAGCCAAGATAATTCAGTTACCAATAAGTGCACAAAATAATTGACATCAATATTTTCATGTAAATCTAAAACATTCTTATTAGAGTTTAAAGTTGTATGCTTACTAGTAGCAGGTTGCAATGTATAGCTTCTCCCAGCCCTCAGAGTATATTTATCAATTATTTTGTTACCAGAATATCACTCTGTGCATTGTAAATTACTCATGCAGAGGGTAAAAGAGAATATTGAATTTATAAACAAATAGTCTGTTTCATCGTTTAAACACAAGACAGTTAAGAAAGTTGTATGTTTAACATCAATAAATATTACATCTTTACTGAAAGAAATATTCATGAGTAGACTGTTAAGTTGCACTGTTTTATGTGCATATTTCATCATCATAAATTGTCATTTGACCTAATGTGAACAAATTTGAAACCTAAACCAGCAAGCGTTGTGTACAGTCTTCAATGTAAAAAGGGTATTAAACACATGTACTCTACTTGAAGCTACCCTTTCATATTTTGCAAGTTTTGTAATGTGTTATGGGGTTGGTACAAAACCTTGTTACAATGTTTAAGTTGTCTTACTTTTGATGTTGCAGGATGTCCAATGAAGTTGATATACTTTGTTTCGCCCTATGATCTGTTGGATAAGAAAACCAAATCACCACATCCAATGACTGTAGAAGGTGAATTTACTGATCAGTAACTGTATAAGATAAGTTCATTGATTAAAGACTGTAGAAAGTGAGTTTACTGATCAGTTACTGTATAAGATAAGTTCATTGATTAAAGACTAGAAAGTGAGTTTACTGATCAGTAACTGTATAAAATAAGTTCATTGATTAATGACTGTATATACTGAGTTCATTGATCAATGACTATAGAAGGTTAATTTACTGATCAGTAACTGTAGAAGGTGAGTTTACTGATCAGTAACTGTATATGCTGAGTTCATTGATCATTAACTTTAGAAGGTGAGTTCATTGATTAATGACTGTAGAAAGTGAGTTTACTGATCAGTAACTGTATAAGCTGAGTTCATTGATCAATGACTATAGCAGGTGAATTTACTGATCAGTAACTGTGTAAGATAAGTTCATTGATCAATGGCTGTAGAAAGTGAGTTAACTGATCAGTAACTGTATAAGCTGAGTTCATTGACCAATGACTTAGAAGGTGAGTTTACTGATCAGTAACTGTATAAGATAAGTTCATTGATCAATGGCTGTAGAAAGTGAGTTTACTGATCAGTAACTGTATAAGCTGAGTTCATTGATCAATGACTGTAGAAGGTGAATTTACTGATCAGTAACTGTGTAAGATAAGCTCATTGATCAATGACTATTGAAAGTGAATTTACTGATCAGTACCTGTATAAGCTGGGTTCATTGATCAATGACTATAGAAGGTGAATTTACTGATCAGTAACTTATAAGATGAGTTCATTGATCAATGACTGTAGAGTTCATTGATCAATGACTGTAGAAGGTGATATTACTGATCAGTAACTGTATAAGCTGAGTTCGTTGATCAATGAATGAAGAAGGTGAGTTCACTGATTAGTAACTGTATAAGCTGAGTTCATTGATCAATGAATGAAGAAGGTGAGTTGACTGATCAGTAACTGTAGAAAGTGAGTTCATTGATCAATGACTGTAGAAGGTGAGTTTACTGATCAGTAACTGTAGAAGGTGAGTTTACTGATCAGTAACTGTATAAGCTGAGTAACGATCAATGACTAGAGAAGGTGAATTTACTGATCAGTAACTGTATAAGATAAGTTTATTGATCAATGACTGTAGAAGGTGAGTTTACTGATCAGTAATTGTATAAGCTGAGTAACCATCAATGACTAGAGAAGGTGAATTTACTGATCAGTAACTGTTTAAGATAAGTTCATTGATCAATGACTGTAGAAAGTGAGTTTTGCTGATCAGTAACTGTATAAGCTGAGTTCATTGATCAATGAATAAAGAAGGTGAGTTGACTGATCAGTAACTGTAGAAAGTGAGTTCATTGATCAATGAATGTAGAAGGTGAGTTTACTGATCAGTAACTGTATAAGATCAGTCCATTGATCAATGACTGTAGAAAGTGAGTTTACTGATCAGAAACTGTATCAGATAAGTTCATTGATTAATGACTGGAGAAGGTGGGTTTTACTGATCAGTAACTGTATACGCTGAGTTCATTGATCAATGACTGTAGAAAGTGAGTTTTGCTGATCAGTAACTGTATAAGCTGAGTTCATTGATCAATGACTGTAGAAAGTGAGTTTTGCTGATCAGTAACTGTATAAGCTGAGTTCATTGATCAATGAATGAAGAAGGTGAGTTGACTGATCAGTAACTGTAGAAGGTGAGTTCATTGATCAATGGCTGTAGAAGGTGAGTTTACTGATCAGTAACTGTATAAGATCAGTCCATTGATCAATGACTGTAGAAAGTGAGTTTACTGATCAGTAACTGTATCAGATAAGTTCATTGATTAATGACTGTAGAAGGTGAGTTTTACTGATCAGTAACTGTATACGCTGAGTTCATTGATCAATGACTGTAGAAAGTGAGTTTTGCTGATCAGTAACTGTATAAGCTGAGTTCATTGATCAATGACTGTAGAAAGTGAGTTTACTGATCAGTAGCTGTATAAGATAAGTTCATTGATCAATGACTATAGAAGGTGAGTTTACTGATCAGTAACTGTATAAGATAAGTTCATTGGTCAATGACTGTAGAAGGTGAATTCATTGATTGATGCCTCTTTTTTTTGGCTATAACAATGAACATTGTTAAGCCCTGGTGAGGATTGCAATGTGTTCTGTCCCCATGCTGGCACATACCAGAGTATGAGCTAGGCCAGAATAGTTAATTATCTGTTGTCATATTACAGCTATTATTAACACAGTATGAGCTAGGCCAGAATAGTTCATTATCTGTTGTCATATTACAGCTATTATTAACAGAGTATGAGCTAGGCCAGAATAGTTAATTATCTGTTGTCATTTTACAGCTATTATTAACAGAGTATGAGCTAGGCCAGACTATTTACTTTGTTTGGTGTTGTGTTACAGCTATAACGGAGTACGAACTAGGCCAGAGTGTGACCGTGTGTATAGAGCCCTGCAGTCCTAATAAATTACAAACCATACCGCTGATGAGTGTTGTCAAACAAGATGGCAAGAGGTAAGGTGTGACAAACTGTAGATGGTTCCTAGTATGATCAGATCTGACCAACTGTAGATGGTTCCTAGTATGATCAGTACTGACCAACTGTAGATGGTTCCTAGTATGCTCAGTACTGACCAACTGTAGATGGTTCCTAGTATGATCAGTACTGACCAACTGTAGATGGTTCCTAGTATGATCAGTACCAGATTAGCAAAACAGCAGCTTCTGTTCTTTCATCCAGTTTGAAGCCATTGCAGTTTCCCAACAATTGTTGGCTCATTCTCATGTCTATATTGGAATTTGTAAATGAAAAATAAAATAAAAAATACTGTATGTAAAATAAAAAAATTGTGAATTTACCAACAACAGTTAGGAACACTAAGGGATATAATATCCCGAGTTAGATTTATTTTTCTCACATAATGTTGATATATAATATCCAAGTGCCTTTTTACATATAACTCCAGTTTACAAACTGAGAAAATTCATGAGAACCCTGATGTCACAAGAACAACTGTATTTAGTATGACAACACGAAGCATTGTGACATTATTATTTTTTTGTGGTCAAAACTCATATTAGTTTAATACTTCTTTAAACCCTTCAAAAATATCAATAAAAGATGACTTTGATTTGAGATCTAATTTCTTCTGTACCTGTTCAGTTAAACATTTGCCTGTTGTAAAAGTGGAAACACTGGGTACTGCCGTATAAAATGTTATCTATAGACTACTTTCTACACCTACTGCTAGTAGGCCATCCTTTTGGGAACCTATTCTCTAAAATAAGAATGTCTGCTCGTGCCAGGTGCTGTCCTGAACTTGAAATAGTCTCCACACAAAAAGTGTTTTTTGTAAGAAAATCGGCTGTCCTAAACACTGTTATAAAGTCATGCAAAAAATCTGTGAAGTTAACATCGTCAAGTGGAAATGTACAAATAGAGATGCAAATGAAGGAAACATTTTGAAAATATTTTTTTTCTACATAGTTTTCAGGTTCATGGTATTCCTCTGTAAATCTTCAGTTTGTTTACGTTTGTCACAGACTGGGTATCTCAATGATCTTTAAACCTAGAAGTCCTTTGGAAAATATGGTATTTAGTTGACCTTTATGAATGAAGAAATATATAAGGTAGTAGTATTTTGATGATAAACAGTTTATCAAACAATGTTTTCAGGGTTGGTCATTCAAACAATTTTCTCACTGTGACCATGTAGATAAAACTCAAGTCAGTCTTCTTTGGCCTCTTGATATTATTCATGTGGGTGTTATAAGAAAATTGTTCTCACGACAAACCCTGAAAACAAAACAGTGTGATAATCTACAATTATTAATGATATGTATCTTACACTAACTATTCAATTTAACATAATTTCAATGTAATTAATTGAAATATCATGAAGTTCCCAATTGATTGTTATTGCAATTGACTTCCCTTTGGTGTTGAATATTTTAAGATTTGTTTATAAATGGTGAAAAGTCCATGCTGACACAGTTCTGTTGTGTTTTCAGTCTTCCTTGCTTCCAAGGCCTTTCCAATGTGAACAGCTGTACATTGTCTGCAAGTTTTGTGTTGGTTCTTCCTCAGCCGATTCCAGTAGCCATGTCCAATGTGCAATCTATACAAAGTGTAACAGGTAATCTCCTGTTCCACCATTCTCAGTGACCACAAAAGAAACCAAGTGTAACAGATTATCTCCCCTACACCCTTCCCATTATATTACATCTCCCCTACACCATTCCCATTATTTTACATCTCCCCCTACACCATTCCCATTATATTACATCTCCCCTACACCATTCCCATTATATTACATCTCCCCTACACCATTCCCATTATATTACATCTCCCCTACACCATTCCCATTATATTACATCTCCCCTACACCATTCCCATTATATTACATCTCCCCTACACCATTCCCATTATATTACATCTCCCCTACACCATTCCCATTATATTACATCTCCCCTACACCATTCCCATTATATTACATCTCCCCTACACCATTCCCATTATATTACATCTCCCCTACACCATTCCCATTATATTACATCTCCCCTACACCATTCCCATTATATTACATCTCCCCTACACCATTCCCATTATATTACATCTCCCCTACACCATTCCCATTATATTACATCTCCCCTACACCATTCCCATTATATTACATCTCCCCTACACCATTCCCATTATATTACATCTCCCCTACACCATTCCCATTATATTACATGTTCATCCTCAGAGTAACCGATAATCTCCCCTTACACCATTCCTAGTAACCACAAGTAAATCCTCAGTTAATCCTGAGTGTAACAGATAATCTCCCCTACACCATTCCCAGTGACCACAGGTTAATCCTAAGTTAATCCTGAGTGTAACAGATAATCTCCCTTACACCATTCCAAGTGACCACAAGTTAATCTTTAGATGACCCTGAGTGTAACAGATAATCTCCCCTACACCATTCCCAGTGACCACAAGTAAATCCTCAGTTAATCCTGAGTGTGACAGATAATCTCCCCTTACACCATTCCCAGTGACCACAAGTTAAACCTCAGTTAATCCTGAGTGTAACAGATACTCTCCTACACCATTCCCAGTGACCCTAAGTTAAACCTCAGTTAATCCTGAGTGTAACAGAGAATCTCCCCTACACCATTCCCAGTGACCACAAGTTAAACCTCAGTTAATCCTGAGTGTGACAGATAATCTCCCCTTACACCATTCCTAGTAACCACAAGTTAATCCCCAGTTAATCCTGAGTGTAACAGATAATCTCCCCTTACACTTTTCCCAGTGACCACAAGTTAATCCTCAGTTTATCCTGGGTGTAACAGGTAATCTCCCGTTGCCCTATTCCCAGTCATCACAAGTTAATCTTTGTAAGATACACACTTATGATAAGGGAATTATTTCTTCTAAGTGTTGATTTTTAGCTCGCCTGCCCAAAGGGCAAGTAAGATTATGTCATGGTTTGTCGTCCGTCAACTTTTCCTTTCAACAATTTCTTATGAAGAACCAACAGGCATAGAGCCATGATATTTGACTGAAAGCTTCGTTGGTAGGAGCACGACAAAGTTTGAGAACGAAAATGACCTTGACCTACTTTCAAGGTCACAGGGGTCAAATGTATCAAACACTTTAAACGACTTCTGGAGAATAACAGAAAGGTATAGAATCTTCAAATTTGGCTGGTGGCTTCCTGGGATAGAGTCTTAACAAAGTTTGAGAATGGAAATGACCTTTATCCGCTTTCAAGGTCACAGGGGTCAAATATGTCAAACTCTTCAAACGACTTCTTCTGAAGAACTGAAAGGTATAGAATCTTTATATTTGGCTGGTGGCTTTCTGGGATAGAGCCTGACAAAGTTTGAGAATGAAAATGACCTTGACTTACTTTCAAGGTCCCAGGTGTCAAATATGTCAAAAACATCAAATGACTTCTTCTGAATAATCGAAAGGCATAAAATTATAATATTTGTCTGGTGGCTTCCTGGGATAGAGCTCACCAAAGTTTGCAAATGAAAATGCCCTCAACCTACTTTAAAGGTCACAGAGGTCAACAACATTTCAAAGGATTTGTTCTAAAGAACCAAAAGGAATGGATTCATAAGATTTGGCTGGAAGCTTCTTGGGATAGAGCTAACAAAGTTTGAGAAGGAAAATGACATTGACCTACTAACAAGGTCACAGGGGAAAATATGTCAAACAACTTCTGAAGAAGAACCAAAATCAACTGATGGAGCCGACGAAGTTTGCGAGAGAAGTATTTGTAGTGCAATATAATATTTAATGAGAATATTTTGCTATGCTTAAATATGCAGGTGAGCGATACAGGCCATCTGGGCCTCTTATTTATTTAAAATAATTAATGCATTAAAACCAGTTATTTAAAGGTTGAAATACTGGATTTAGTTGATATTTGAGTTTGAGCTTCAGGTTTTCAATAAGTTTCCAAAATACTGAAGTTAGCTTTTTAAGTATTTAAATAGATTCCACTTAAGAATATTTTTTGTATGTAGACTGGAGACAATGTGACCGCATTATGTATACTTGTTGTTTGTAGAACTTGATGTAATATCTGTTGGTGAGACAAAGCCCTTGCTACAACTTATAAACCAGCATGCTGCCAAATCAAAAAGTCATGCGGAGGGAAATGAATTTTTTGTTGTAAGTTGTGTTTTAGACTTTCTGCCTTTTATTTGGGTCAGATGAATCTGTTATAAATGGTTTATGTAAAGGTACATGTTTTGGCTCAGATGTGTTAACTTGACGTTTCTTCACCTTAGTTTATGTGTAAAATTTATTAAATACATAATATTTATTTGAAAACTTGATTTTAGTCCAAAACTAGTGCATTTGTATCAAATATTGATCAAGAAATAGGTGTTGTGATTCTTAAGCCATAAGTGTGAAGATTTGATCATGTGCTGTCGTACTTGAACAAGCTTGCTTAACTCTGAAGTTAATTTCAAATAAGAAAGTTGCCCTCCTATCAGAAATAAATGGTTGTTTTGTATGTGGTACATTGTTTTTCAGACGTTGCCAGACCAGCAGCATGTGTACTTCATGAGTGACATCAGTGGGTGTTCACTGGACCAGCCGGCCGTGATGGTCAGCCGAATCCCGTTCACACACCCAACCAGTGTAGCCCAAGTTCTTAACCACCTCCGACAGCAGGTCATCTTTAATACCGTCATAGAGAGCTGTATTCGGCCTAATGCACAGCAAGGTACGTCACATCACTTTACTGCGGATTGGGTACAAGTCTTGTTTTATTTTATGGTGGCTACTGAAATGGTTGGTTTGGATTTTTTTAAAGACTGAAAACTACCTCACCACACTTCATATTTACTGAATTGTTTTAAAAATGAGTTGGACTATAAAGATTTTGTTTTTGTTTTTACGAAGTAATATATCTGATTTGTTGAATACATTCTTGTGGTACATATAATAACCAATATTACCTATTAAAACGTTTCAGATAACACTGTGATAGTGTGATATTGGGATAGTATAGCAGTGCCAAGAATGATAAATCCATGAATTAAATAAACAACAATAAGCAGCATTAATAATTAAATGCAATTACAGGCACAACTTTCTAGATACTACAAATGGACACTGCACATGTTGTCGGCCTAAATAGTTATTCCAGGATACATCTGAAACATACAATTTGAAAGCCTCCGTAAGTGTTTACAATATGGGTGACCTGTAATGTTGTGTTTTATTTCAGATATCAAGAGTTCAGTGGTGTTTGATTTAGCAGCAGCCTCCTTACAGAGTCTGACGGTTACGTTTGAACATCCGTTACAAGATACCATGGTCACGGGTAAGTCCTCATAGTAAGAAGATATTCTGTCTTCTTTAATAAAAAAAAGTCTGAAACATCCATTATTTTTACCCTGGACAGCTGTATCCACACTTTTCATGGTGCAAGATATCCTTGTCTCACCCTCAGGTTGAGACTGGGGGATTCCCCTATTCATAACAATTGTATGATATCACATCAACAATTAATCAACATCATGTCAACCCTGAATTTAGCCTGTAAACTTAAAAATCTTCCCCCTCAGGTTGAGATTCCCCTGTCTCACCCCAAGGGGGTTTGCAATTGTATAAGTCTCCCACACATTAACATCATGATTGCCTCGTTTCCTCCCTGATCCCCTACTTTTAATGATTGACTTGTTTTTGTCAATTTCTCTTGCACACTTTAGTATGACTTCTTGATTGGTATCTTTCCCACACTCTTATGTCTTGCATTGGTTCAGTTATATGACAACTTAATAAAATTACAAATTGTATTGCAGAACTGCAGTAACTGTTAAAATTCCTCATAATTTGTTTTGTAATTCATTTTATTGCCATTATTTTTCAAATGTTATTAATTACAATTACAAAGTACTTTTGTTGTTTTCAACATATTGAATATAAAGCATTTAGAAAACAATACAAAATGTTATCTTGAAATTTAAATGCAATCTCCTACTTTGATGTGTATATTTTTCTTCTAATGTTCAGTCATGTGAGTAAACTGTAACTGGTGTTCCTGTTTTATCTACAGCGGATGTGGACCTATGTGATATTACCAATGTCAAGTTCAAAGTTTGTATAGGCCAGGATGGCGAGGAGCTCTGCTCCGACGATATAGCAACGAAAATATTCCAAAGGTAATTTCTTACCAGTTATCACTTACCGAGCTTAAAAATCTATTTCCAAAGTTAAAATCTTGTTGGTGATTTATAAACTGAAATTTGGGGATAAAAACCCATTCTAAACGAAGTATATAATTAATGATTTCTAACTGAACTGGGAAATTTAATGACTATCTTTTCTGATTCTGATAAAATCAAATAACAGTCTCAGTCTTGGTGGAAAGTGTATTAAATAATCTTATGGATGTTTGTCTTAACCCAAGTGAATGACAAATGACATGCTCTTCCAGATCATTGTCTCAATCCTAGTGAATGGAATAAGAATTCTGTTATAGATGTCTCTATCATGCCCAGGGGTGTAGGGTAGGGAAATTCCACCCTGGAGATCTTCAAATTGGTGCCAAACCCTCGGCATGCATCAGGTTTTACCCATTTCTATCCTGCACCACTTTGCGTGAAAGCCTCTATTTCTCTCATTCTGATCACTAGAATTAGCTCAGAAACAGCAAAGTGTATCAGAATGTTTTGCTTGGCAATGTTTTTGATTCCCTAATGACACATCATTGTTGTCCCATTGTGATGTCACACATGTGAAATGGGATGTAGGATAGAAATTACTTAACTCTACTTACCATGGACAGTTCTGTGATATACACTCAGAAATTAGAGAAATGGCATTCCATGTGCTATGCACATTGTATAAGGAAACATCTTGCCAAAAATATGAACATGCTGTTGCGAGAATGCATCGCTAAGATTGTAAGGAAAGGTTCAATTCAAATGTGCAAGACTTCATTATCCAAATCATGTTGCTGATGATTAGAAATTAAAAAATGCATTTATGATAGACTGTTTACAAAATTATTAGCAGCCCCTGTCTGTAGCAACCCTTTTAAGGGTTATTACAATGATGATAAAGAATAAGATAAGGCCAAATAAAATTAATTACTTGATTATCAGGCCAATTTTTTTCAAAAGAAATGCGGCAGAGTGGTATTTTATTTTTTTATTTTACATGGCAAAAATGAGACGAGGGCGATATTTTTTTATTGTGTAGTTTGTAAAACGTTCATTGTGGGCATTACCTTGTCTTTTTATAGTTGTGTAGAGAACCGTCATAGAGCATTCCTCCGAAAATCCCCCCACGATGTTCCAGACGAGTATCACGAACCCCCCCACCCCCCCTTTCGTTATTTGTACCGAAATGAGTGCCATTTGTAAACAAGACTAATAAGTCATTATCATTTTAACGCTTGCCTGAATATCAATCCTTATCTTTATTCAAACGTTTTCGGGACTTTGGTGACTAAGGAGTAAAAACGACATGCGGACCAATTTTCTGGATTTTTTTAAAGACACGGCTGGCGCATTCACGTTTTTTTTTTTTTATTACTTTCAAGATAAAATCGGCAATGCGGTGCCCTAAAAAAAATGAGCATGGGCCTGAGAACCAAGTAATCAAATTGTTTTTGGCCTAAGATGTTCATATTTGTAATAAGTGTATTTATCTATTGCAGGTGTTTGTCTATACCTGTCACCCTGCGATCTGTAATCCACAAGGTGTCAGAAAAGCTACGCAAAGAGCCATCACCTGAACCTGTACCTACAAACAACCACAGGAAGCAGTGGCCAAACTTTCTCCCTATTCGCCACAATCCTGTACATTATCATATGGACAATAAAATCCAACAGACAAATCTACTACACAATCTGTTGCCACCACAACAAGTGCCCATCAAGATGCAGCCCAACATGGCTGTGCCCCTGGGCCTACCTCAGAACCCGTCGATGGACACTAGCACAACCCCTACGGATGACAAGCCTAGTAGTAATCCCCTCCTGGCTACTCTTCTGGACCAGGACTCGCCCAGTCCCGATTCATCTCCCGTCACTCCCGTCAACGAAAGTCCCATGTTGTCCAAGTTACTGGGGGATGATACTCCTGCCCTAGCCTCCAGTATCCCAGCCCCTCGCCCGCAAAAACCTAGAAAATTAGGCAAGAGACGCTCAAGAGATACACTTAGTGGACGAAGCCCGAAGCATCGAGTGTCAGACAGTGATAGTAGTAGTGTTAGTATGGACCATTTAGATTCCAGTATTTCATTTGATGACTTACATCATCCTGGTATTGGAGGTGGAGGGGTAGGGGCAACAGGGGGAGGGGTGGGTCATCCCCTCCCTCAAACTCGGGAAGGAAGCACATCTAACATGACTATCGACCTTACCACACCGGAACTGTATCCCATGGAATCACCCATGAAGAAGTTAGAGAATACTTTGGATAGAATTATACCCAAGGACCAACAACAATACCACCAGCTTCAACAGCAACAACTTCACCACCAACAACTACAACAGCACCAGCAACAGCAACAACAGCACCAACAACAACATCAACAACAACAACAACAACAACAACAACAAAACCAACACCAGCAACAAAACCAACACCAGCAACAAAACCAACATCAGCAACAAAACCAGCAGCAGCTTCAATACCCACCACAGCATGATCTACACAGTCGACAGGATAAGGAATTACCCATGTTGCTATCCGATGGCAAGGAAACGGATAACAGAAATTTTTACCCTACAACCAATGCCGGGTCAAAAAACGAGATATCGTCTACCTCTCTTGAGGCGCTCCTCATCGGGTCGGGAGAGGTAACTAAGACAACAGATCCAACCTTCTACACAAACAGTCAAACCACTCTTCGCGGGGAACTCAGAAAGGGACTGACGTCACCGGGAGTTGGGAGACAAAACTCTAATCAAAATGCTCAAAACCAACATTCCGGGGAGTCTGGGGAACATAACCCCTCTAGTGTTGGCTCTTCCCGCGGTTCAACTAGCTTTTCCCCTAACTACAGTGATTGTGACACTCCAAGGGAAAACAATTATAAGTCTTGTGATAGTCATCCCTACAGTCTGAGTGCAATGTTGAGTAGCAATGTTAGCAGTGGTGCTAACAAAATGGCAGCTAGCTTTCCCACCACACAGATGGTGTACAGCAACAACGTCAGTGTGCAACAGCGAGAAATTAAACTCGATAAGATGGAAAATTCCTCACTACGATCGCTATTAGATGGGAAGAATCGATTAGAAAACAGTATTGTGAATAATGATATTCCGATAAAGTCCGAACGGAACATTAATCTTAAGTTGACATTAAAGAGGGCACCTCGTGTGATGGAGAGTTCACCATCCCATGTCTCGGATGTGTCATTGCCAAAGAGTAAAAGTACAGGAATGTTTGACTTTCAAAGTGACGATGATGAGCCTTTTGAGAATTTTAAGGAACGTCGGAATATGACAGTGAGTGTAATCGCCCAGTCCCCAACAAGGCTTCAGATTAAGCCTAAAATGGCAAATATTTATGACTCAAACAGTGGCAAAATTGACAAGTACAAAAAAAATGAGTTAAGACACAGTAAGAGTGTAGGTGATACGGGCAAGAGGAAACGAAAGTTAGACTCCAAAAAAGAGAAAAAGAAACGTAAAACTGGAGACCGAGGCAGTGATTCCATGGGAGAAGCAGCTGTGTATACAACTTCTACTATGGAAACAGAGGTAAAAAGTGACAATTTGAAGGTGAAGTTTATCAAAAGTGGTAGTAAAGTTTCCATGGAAAGTAGTCCAAAGACTTCGTCTCCTTCCTCATCAAAAGACAGAGAGAAAGGAGAGAGTTCGAGGAAGGCTTCAAAAGAGCATTCAGAAAAATATGAAGTGTCTTCTGTAAAGACTAAATCCTCATCATCTAGTAGTCAAAAATCTTTATCATCGTCACATAGACACCGTTCAATTTCATCACCTAGTGTTACGGTCAGTAAAGCAGACTCGAAGCTCATCACCAAAACACCAACGATAAAGCTGAAGCCCATTACTATGCCTCACAGCTCCTCTGTAAATGTTCCTTCTGTCAAAGCACCAACGACCAGCTCATCATCCTCAAGCAAGAACTCGCTCACCCCAACATCAGCAACAATAGGGCGAATAGGGGCGGTGTCGTTGGCGACCTCTGGTAGTTCTAAAAGTGGGTCAATGACACCGCCCCCTTCTGGGAAATCCTCTTCATCAACTTCAGTGAAAACTCCCCCAATAGGCAAGGGGCCAACGGCAGCATCTATTTATTCAAGCAAGTCTCAGACATCGTCGTCTACCTCAGGGAAGTCGTCTGCAGGATCTTCCAGTAGAAATCTGCCAACGACAGGCCGCAACTCTACAGGGAGTCTGTCCAAAGGGTCTAATGGACTGCCATCTGGTGGAAACAAAATGTATTCCAGTGAGAGGAAAGGTGGGTCTCCATCTATTTCTGGTGGAAGAAATACACCAAATTCTTCTTTGAAGTCGAGTAGTTCCCTGACAAAATCATCTACCTCATCCAGTAAACCCCAGTCTGGGAGCTCAACAAATGCCGCCAATGTGTTATCCTTTCTCAACACAAATGCCAGTGGAATAGCTAGTCTACCGCCAATACCGAAGCGGTCTGCATCCTCGTCTTCTTCCAACAAACCTGCATCCACACCGCTTTCTGCAGCAAATCCTCCCTCATCGTCAGTGTCCTCTACATCCTCATATTCTTCACCTGTAAATGCTACTGCTGCCATGAAATCATCGAGTGCCATAAACAGTAGTACCAGCACATCAGTTTCTAAACCAAACAGTGTCTCGGGGTATGGTGGAGGCGCTAACAAAGGGTCAGGGGTGACATCATTTACAACTGGTAAAGGGGGCAACCCTATCAACAAGTCAAACAATAATGCCTCACTTACAAACCAATATTCTGTGAATAAATCTGTGGGCAACAATTCCACACCCACCAGTAACACTAATCGTAGTTCTAACAATTCGGGCGTGTCTAGCAGGCCTTCCTCCGTGTCGGGAACAGCTAGTGACATTAGCAACAAAAGCTCAAATAAGTCAGGCAGTGGACCTTCTTCAGGGAACAGTTCTAATAGCATCTCCAACCATAGTGTCAACAACAAAATCTTCCCACCCAGCACTGCCTCAAACAGCTCCAACAGTAAGCCTAGCCACACTTCGTCCGTCAACAACACAGAGCGGGAACCAGCAAGGAAACAGCCAGTGGCGCCACCTCCGACTACTGTCAGCAGCAGTAGTGTCACTACAAGTGTAAGCAGTACCAGCAATAGTACTGTAACAAGCAGTAGTACTTCTACCAGCAGTACTTCTGTCAGCAGTACTGTAACAAGTACAGTAGCTGTGCCTGCCCCATCTGTTAGTGGAGGGAACGGTGTGCCCCCAGCCACTCACACCTCCCCCAGTGGTTCTACAGGAGGAGGGACAGCTTGTGCTATGTCTGCCAGTGCCATGGCCAAGGCTCGGGCCAGAAAGAGCTCTCTGTCTGCTGTCATTGACAAGCTCACCAAGTCCAGTCAGCAAAGTGTTCATGTCAGCAGTGTCCCCGAGGGGGCAGAGGGATCCCCAGGGGATGAGCGGGGTTACGATGATGCATTTGAGGCAGAAGCAGAGCAGCAGGATAGTGTGGATGCTGCCAAGAAATATGTTAATGCCCAACCTAGTGAGACGGGCAAAGGTGGGAGTAGCAAGTCCTTACAGGGCAAAGGGCGACCTGAATCTACAGATAGTAAAACTGCATCCAGTAATAGTGCACAGAAATCCCCTGGCAACAAGGGCTGCTTAGACAGTCCTAGTAAAAAGGGTGGGGGTGGTGAAAGTTGCAAATCGTCAGCGCCACGGGATGGACGTAATGATTCTAGGAATTTATTTTCATCAATCATGGATAGTTTATCATATGAAGAACAGACTTTGAAGGGAGATAAATCTGTTGGTGAAAACGATAAAAGTGTGTCTAATTCCAAAAGTAATTCATCTTCACAAGTTATGAATATTGGCAGTACTCCTGAACGCGAAGGTGGGTCAGTGCCACGAGATGCTGATCATCCGAGTCCTGCTAAAAAGGCAAGAACTCAATCTCCAAAAGCAAACCCCAACAAGTTTAACGGGGAAACATCTTCTCCTAGGGAAGGAGAAAGAAAGGGGGAGAGTGAAAAGGATTTCTTTAAAGTGCCAACACCCAAGCCTAACAATGTAGAAGAGAAGGACTTAGAGGACACTGAGAATTTGGTGGTGAGGAGAAAATCGCGGACTAGTACAACTAGACCTGTTCTTAGTCCAGCTAGTCCGGCAAGTAGTCCAGAGAACCTCATTATTGACTGTCAGACAATGTCCCCACGCACACTCCAGAACAAAACCAACTCTCCACAGTGTAACCAGGACATGTTAGTAGCTGATGCTGTCATAGAGAACAACAGGAGGATCAACTCTGGCATCAAGACTTCTAAGACTCACACCCCATCTCCCAAATTAAAGGGGACGCCAACGAATTCTCCAATAACTGTGGTGACCAAAGACCACTCCAACCCTAGCTCTGTGTCCAATCCCTCTCCGTGCGACATAGACGACGATCTCATGAATGAGGCCATTATGGGCTTCAACAGCTGAATATGTGCTGCAATAGTAAGGGTGTGCCTCTGTTATTAGTCTGTTAACTTTATAATCACAGGATCACTAGGTAGTAGCTGTGATACTTCAGTATTATTTGGTGTTTCAGCCCAGCGCTGTTCAAAGTTGATCATACACTGTCAAGCATAGTCCATTGTATCAATTTTTTCTACCTAAATTATTTAAAATTGAGAAAAATTCAGTAGTATCTTTGTGATGTTGGAAAAATATTCCAGATTTTTGTTTATGTTGACATAAATGACACTTTTTGGCTTGGGGAAACAGCTTAGTTTTCAGTGGTTAAACAATGAAAAATATCTCTGCATAGATAGTCGTTTGTACACTATCAGATGTACTGGCAATTGTACAGTCGTTCAGACATATTGTTTAGGTTGTACACAGTTTGTTGTACACTGTAGGATGACACGGAGCCCTACACTTTGGTATGTACATTAATCTGTTGAACTAAGCTGGTCCCACACTTACATTATTGAAGTTGGCCTTACTATTGAGTCCACAGGGGAATATATTTAAAATCATTTATATCAATGGCCAAGAGATAATCTCCCATTGTGCTTTAGGTAAATAATAAAAGTTGTGCTTTTCAGATTTGGTTAAAATAATCAGGTGCTTTTAGCTTTCAAATGCCATTTGAAATTAAAAGTTTAAAAGGTTCTTTCATTTTGAATAAAGTAAAAGTGATATGTCAAATTAATATATTCAAACAGAAAATGTTGTACTGGGTGTGCCTGTCAGTCTACTGGTTGGGTTGGTTTTAAGTATCTTTGGGTTGATAAATGAATAAGAGCTTAACATGGTGATCGTATGAGGCAGTCCAGTAAACAGTAAAGCAAAGACCACTCAATGTTCATTTGCCATAGTGCTTCTCTCACTTATGTACAAGTGACTTCTCTCACTTATGTACAAGTGACTTCTCTCTCTTATATACAAGTGACTTCTCTCTCTTATATATAAGTGACTTCTTTCTCTGTGAGAGAGGTCACTTGTATATTCGATCACTTATGTACAAGTGGCTTCTCTCACTTACGTACACGGTACTTCTCTCACTTCTATACAAGTGACTTCTCTCGCTTATGTACAAGTGACTCCTCTCACTTATGTACAAGGGACTTCTCTCACTTATGCACAAGTGACTTCTCTCACTTAAATACAAGTGACTTCTCTCATTTATGTACAAGTGACTTCTCTCATTTATGTACAAGTGACTTGTCTCACTTATGTACAAGTGGCTTCTCTCACTTACGTACACGTGACTTCTCTCTCTTATGTACAAGTGGCTTCTCTCACTTACGTACAAGTGACTTCTCTCGCTTATGTACAAGTGACTGCTCTCACTTATGTACAAGTGACTTCTCTCACTTACGTACACGTGACTTCTCTCACTTATATACAAGTGACTTCTTTCACTGTGAGAGAGGTCACTTGTATATTCTCTCACTTATGTACAAGTGACTTCTCTCACTTATGTACAAGTGACTTCTCTCACTTACGTACACGCGACTTCTCTCACTTATATACAAGTGACTTCTCTCACTGTGAGAGAGGTCACTTGTATATTCTCTCACTTTCATACAAGTGACAACAGTTGTATAACCTTGGTGGGTCTAACAAAGAAGTGTGACTGGCTTGACTGTATAAGATGGAGGCAGTACAGATTATAGCTAAAATAAAATTTCATTGATAAAGTGTGATCCCTAAGGTAGTTCAGCTAAAGCGTAAATCATTGCTGTTTTTAAATGGCACAAGGGTTGGCACTTTAATGAAATAACTGCTATTATAGAAATATACTGTATAACACAAAGTGTTCGTGGGTACTTTCCTTCGTGGTTTGAAGCCTTTTTGATTGTTTCGTGGATGTCCTATATTAACTAACAGTAGACACGTATATCATTCAAATTCATTGTATTTATTTTCGTGGTTCTATAGCAACCACGAAAACCACGAATGTTTATACACAACAAACATTTCATGTTATACAGTACGTATATTAACTGTTCCCCAATGAGGATTTTTAAATCCCCCTTTTCGGTTAATTATATCATACAGCGTTAAGAGTTAAAATTTGCTTTGCTACATCTTTCTCCTGTAATCTCTCTCACATATTTTATGAATTTCATTCCTTGTCAAGCTTCATATCTTTCTTGGAAATCCATTCTAAGTTACCTGAATTCTAGTGTAAAACACCATTTAATGTTTTAGTCTTCTAACTCTGTTTGTACAGGTTCAATGTGGATTCCTAAATGGGAATTTGAATACATGTATCTATTTTCCAAAAATGTTCATTCGAAATTCACTTTTAACTTTGTTATATGCACCCCTTATAAATTATGATCAATTTGTAATTGATTTGCTCTATATCACTGCCAACTTTTTATTCTTTTCATGTTCTATAAGGTATTGTCTTTTAAGCCATGTTGTTATGTACAATGTTTAGAATTGCTGTCAAGAAAAAGCAAAGTGTGTTTGTGCATTTTAAAACATGCTTAATAATAATAAAGATAATTAAAATATCAAGTTCAGCTGTAGAGAACTGAAAGTAAAACTATGTGGATTTAGGTTTGTTAACTTTGGTTTGTGTTCAGTGTTGTGGTCACAATGGCTTCATCAGATACTTTATAACGTGAAATATCTGTGGTAACGCCTATTCATGGTACAACATTTTATACCAACTATATTTTGTTGACAAACATTTCAATGGTCTGATGGTATGTTTGAGTTGGTGAAATTGTTTATATTTTTGCTTACCAAAACATACAATACAATGGCAACCATGGAAACTGAGAAAGTAAATACACAGCCAAAGTTTCATGTTAAACCTACACAATTACCAGGCATAATAGCATCCTTAAGCTTGACACCGAGTGGTGTGTTTTGTCTTTTGTACTTTTGTTTTAGGCAGCCTACTGTTTTAGTAAGCCTCTAGGTATAAACAGAAAACACCGTTTGAATAATACCCAGGATCTGAAAGAATTATTTGCGACTATTATATGTTGTACCCCTCATGTAGTTTGGGAGGGTGGATATTTGGTAAGTACGTTGGTCCACCCGTAGTCAAAAGCTTATGTTCAAGATATCTCTGGGTGCTGGAGGTGAATAACTGTGTAAGCCCCTGTTCTCTTTATATTTTTTTAACTTTAAACTGCAATAATGAAATATTTTAAACTGGTGAAATAAAATGGCAATTTTTAAAACTGTTTCTCGAGAGTCTTTTAGCAGAGTTAGTTTTGTCATCGGCTTATCAGGTGTTTTTAATTCCACTGATTTTGGCTAGAAGTTGTCCACAAAAAGAAGTTTGCAAATTATTTTAATCTTCTTTCCCCTCGGATTACTGCTGGATAATACTAGTGGGATCTGCTAGAAAAAACTTCCCGATAACATATCAGGTCCATAGCAATTCCTGCTTTACCAGCTGCTGTTTTGAAATCTTTTATACCTTATACTTTTTCTTTTATATTTTAGATACTACACAATTTGTAAGAATAAAATGCTAGCTGAGGAACATAGTCACCTGTGCATTAAAGTACATGATTGACAGTTTGTCTTTAGAGCTATTACCATATAAAATGCTTATGATTTCTATAATGGAAGGACATTCATAATAATTACACGAAATAACAAAGTATGATTATTAATATTTTAAAATGAAAATAAAGAGTTGATTCATAATTTAATTTTAATTATCCGACATTTGAAATGACATGGGAAATGATTTATTTTTGGAATGAAATAGGAGAAAATTTGTGACTTAAATGAGCATATTAAGTGATTTTTATTGTTGTACACTTTAATCATTGTGTACCTGATCTAGGGAGGCTCACAAAATGGCTACCTGATCCAAGGAGTGTTCACAAGATGGCTACCTGATCTAGGGAGTGTTCACGAGATGGCTACCTTATCTAGGGAGTGCTCACGAGATGGTACCTGATCTAGGGAGTCTCACAAAATGGCTACCTGATCCAAGGAGTGTTCATAAGTTGGCTACCTTATCTAGGGAGTGTTCACACGATGGCTACCTGATCTAGGAAGTGCTCACGAGATAGCAACCTGATCTAGGGAGTGTTTACGAGATGGCTACCTGATCTGGGGAGTGCTCACGAGATAGCAACCTGATCTAGGGAGTGTTCACACGATGGCTACCTGATCTAGGAAGTGCTCACGAGATAGCTATCTGATCTAGGGAGTGCTCACGAGATAGCTACCTGATCTAGGGAGGCTCACAAAATGGCTACCTGATCTAGGGAGTGTTCACAAGATGGCTACCTGATCTAGGGAGTGCTCACGAGATGGCTACCTGATCTAGGGAGTGCTCACGAGATGGTACCTGATCTAGGGAGGGTTCACGAGATGGATACCTGATCTAGGGAGTGCTCACGAGATAGCTATCTGATCTAGGGAGAGCTCACGAGATAGCTACCTGATCTAGGGAGGCTCACAAAATGGCTACCTGATCTAGGGAGTGTGCACGAGATGGCTACCTGATCTAGGGAGTGCTCACGAGATGGTACCTGATCTAGGGAGTGTTAACGAGATGGCTACCTGATCTAGGGAGTGCTCACGAGATGGGACCTGATCTAGGGAGTGTTCACGAGATGGCTACTTGATCTAGGGAGTGCTCACGAGATGGCTACCTGATTTAGGGAGTGCTCACGAGATGGCTTCCTGATCTAGGGAGGGCTCACGAGATGGCTACCTGATCTAGGGAGTGTTCACGAGATGGCTACTTGATCTAGGGAGTGCTCACGAGATGGCTACCTGATTTAGGGAGTGCTCACGAGATGGCTTCCTGATCTAGGGAGTGCTCCCGAGATGGCTACCTGATCTAGGGAGTGCTCACGAGATGGTACCTGATCTAGGGAGTGTTAACGAGATGGCTACCTGATCTAGGGAGTGCTCACGAGATGGGACCTGATCTAGGGAGTGTTCACGAGATGGCTACTTGATCTAGGGAGTGCTCACGAGATGGCTACCTGATTTAGGGAGTGCTCACGAGATGGCTTCCTGATCTAGGGAGGGCTCACGAGATGGCTACCTGATCTAGGGAGTGTTCACGAGATGGCTACTTGATCTAGGGAGTGCTCACGAGATGGCTACCTGATTTAGGGAGTGCTCACGAGATGGCTTCCTGATCTAGGGAGTGCTCCCGAGATGGCTACCTGATCTAGGGAGTGCTCACGAGATGGTACCTGATCTAGGGAGTGTTCACGAGATGTCTACCTGATCTAGGGAGTGCTCACGAGATAGCTACCTGATCTAGGGAGGCTCACAAAATGGCTACCTGATCTAGGGAGGGGTCACAAGATGGCTACCTGATCTAGGGAGTGCTCACGAGATGGTACCTGATCTAGGGAGCGTTCACGAGATGGCTACCTGATCTAGGGAGTGCTCACGAGATGGTACCTGATCTAGGGAGCGTTCACGAGATGGCTACCTGATCTAGGGAGTGTTCACGAGATAGCTATCTGATCTAGGGAGTGCTCACGAGATGGCTAGCTATCTGCCTTTATCAGCTTCATTGTCTCAATTGGCATCAAAGTGATGATCAATAAAAAGCTAGCTGAGGTGGTAAATAAATAGATGAGAAATTGAAGACTGCATCAATATAAAGTAATTATGAAAATGGTCAAATGAATCATGAACATATTGGTAAGGTGGTTAAAATATTTTATTTATGACAAATGGTATATTATGGTAATAATTCAATGATAAGTTTTGAGTTCCCTAACCATTTTGGTGTTTCTATCTTAAATATGAAAATTGACACCTACTTATTATACTTATGACTTATAATGATTTTTATATTATAATCAGATTATACTGTAATACATGTCAACAGAAATATTTAGATGTTGTTGATTTTACATGGGGTTGTTTACACTGCTATCGACACAGGAATGTTTACAGACATTTTGTACCAATGTACCTATATGGCATTATACAAACAGGTCTCTTCAAT